TGTTACAAATCTAGCAACTACCAAGATACTACAGAATGGTACCTTCCCAACAATAGTATTTTAATAATAATTAAATAGAAAGAATGATGGCTAAAGCTTAAAATGGGTCTTTCTGTGCATTTAAAATAGAATCGTAACAAGGGGAAGAGTACAGGAAGATTTATTTATTATTAAATTTGTTTGCCACTCATTTGCTGCAAGGCAACTCACTATCTTTGAATCTTTGTTAATAAATTAGTTTTCTTGTTAATATGACAAAATATGACTCTATTGGTCAATTATGTATGCAATTCATTTTCCTTGTTGAGAAACAAATTTCTAAACAGAATAGTGAAAATTTTAATATTTTAAAACCTTTACAAACTCTATTAAATTCTTAATTTTTGTATAGAATGCAATGAGAGCAACAGTTGAACATCAGGAAAAAAAACCTTCCCTTGATCCAATTGAGGTGACTGTTGTACTTGGAAAAGAAGACCTAACTATTAAGGTACTTTCCCTACTTGAAAGAACAGCCCCTGGGATTTGAACTACAGATTCTTCTATTTCTTCCTGGGTTCTAAACTATACTTCATGAACAGAACTGCTAAGTTTATAGCTAAGTCAGTTGATCAAAGGACTTCATATATCAATCAGATTGGAGCATAGTGTAAAGGTGATGTGTTTACCTGAATGTTGATTCTTTGTATTTAGCACTTTTGTATTTTATTAAGATATTTTTCTTGTATCTATTTTACTCTGGACTTTCTGTATATTATATGTTTTATACAGAATATTTTATTTTACATTTGATACAGTCATAAGTTTATATAATATTAAGGTGCTTATTACATTTGATATGAGTGTGAAATAAATGCATAAAATAATTAAATAATCAAATAATGTAATTTGTTCATTATTAAAATATTTATATAGCTACCCATTTTTCAACTAACTCTGGGTGTCTCCCAGTCAAAAATCCAATATATAAAATATATAATAACTTAAAACTCTAAAACTCAACTAATAAAACAAAAATGCCTGGCACCAGTCAGTTCTAATGTGCATCTAATCTAGGTCTTCAAAACCTTATTTATAAAACCTTACAAAAGCTAAAAGGGTGACAGCCTATTGAACTTCACAAGGTAGAATGTTCCATAGGACGGGGCTGCCATGGAAAAGACTCCTAGCTCCCATCAGATTTTTAGGTAAAGAGACTAGCAGCATGCCCATTCTATCTCCCTTGGTAGGAAAGATAAATGTCCTAAGGGAAAGGTAGTCCTGCAGATAGCCTAACCCTGTGCCATATAGGTTATTAAAATGTGATGACCAACATCTCAAATTGTAGCTTGAAAGAAACTAAGTCAGAACAACTCATGCAACAGAGGTGTTATGAGCAAAACTATAGGCCCCCATTATTGTGCACACAATTGCATTCTGTACCAGTTGAAGTTTTTGGATAGTCCAATGTAAAGTGCATTATAGTAATCCAGATGCAAAGTGACCAATGCCTGAGTGACCAAGAAACGATGCAATTAATGCACAGATAAATCTCTGCAAAGACCTCCCTTAGCTGCAGATGCTACCTGCTCCTTGAGCTGGTGCTGTTAATCCAGGAAGACCCCCAAATTGCACACTACTCAGTCTGATGAAGTGTCACCCTGTCCAGAGTGAAAGATGAAGAACCATAGATGGCTTATAGGTCGTAACCAATTTGAACTAGGTAAACACTCTCCAGCCAAGTGCTATTTTGACAAAATTTCCTTTTTAAATCAATAAGTCGGATACAAAAAGAGTCATTAGAAAATATAATTGTTTCAACTACAAGCAATTTGTTAATTATATGGGTATTTTTTTCTCTTTAACTAGATTTCTGACAGAGGTGGTGGTGTTCCAGTGAGGATAATTGAAAGACTCTTCAGCTATACATATTCTACCGCGCCAAAGCCTGTGATGGATAACAAAAATATTCCTATGGTAAGAGACAAGACCATAATGATGCATAAAGTCAGTAGGCTATTAACACTCTTGGCATTATTTTATAGACATAGGGACATGTGAGACGCGGGGATGCTTTCAGATAGAAAGACTTTGTATCAAATGACTGCAGTAATCCTTGCAGTGATTACTACGAATTCCAAAAGAACCTTCTCATTGAGAATCTGTGATAAGCCAGATAGTCATGAAACTGGGAATCTCTCACGATTGAATGCTCTGCCATATATAAGCCCCTTCCCGATAGGATCTTGAAGTCATGAATTCTAGCATAACCATTTCTATGAAATCTTGAAATTTCTATGGGTCGAGAATATTCTGTAACACCCCATTTTAAAAGCTAGAGCAAATGTGATATGTGCAGAAGAAATTAAATCTATTTCAACATACCATTAAAATGCAAAACTAGAAACATCTCTTTTGCACTTTCTTCTCAACATTGTTTTATTATTCCATAGAATGCTTATTTGGCAAGTATTTAAAATTAAATTGCCTCTGTTCTACTTATTTGTGAGATGAGATTTTCATTGATACCCTTAACCACTGAAATGAATACAGTTTAAAATAAGAGAGATAAAAACCCGTTATTTCAATTAATGAAAAATACTTTAATTCTTTTTAGGCTGGATTTGGTTATGGATTACCGATTTCTCGTCTTTATGCTAAATACTTTCATGGAGATCTCAATCTGTACTCTATTTCGGGGTATGGAACAGAAGCTGTTATCCACTTAAAGGTGTGTTATGTACTTTTTTTTCTCCTTTCAAATGTAGTAATGTTTTTTAAGATGCTTTTTATTTGGCTTTGTAGTAATTTATGCATTGTCCTTTTAAAAAATATTAAATACCCTTTATAATTTGTGAACATTTATTTATTAAACATTTATTTGTTTGCTGTACATCTTGATGAGACAATAATGATCCTTGGCAGAATATATTTTTCATTCTGTTTAAATAGTTCATTGTAAATGATTTATTGTTTATCACATTTTTGGTTGGATTATGAACTGGTTTGATACAGAATTATGCTGGTCTATGTTCAAGATTTGACTTGAAAAAGCAGAGTAAAATGTTTATTAAGTCTGGGTATTTACTATAAAAATTCTTTCTCCTAAAGATAATTTAGCTTATTTTAAAATAAATCAGGCCTTTCAAAGCAGCTATATCAATTAATATCAAATATATCAGCTATTCTGTCTGGACGATAGAAATGAAAAAATGTACAAAGTCTTGCAAAAAGTGAAAACAAGAATTTTTAAACTAGTAGAATAATATCTCACAATTTAATCAATCAATTGTGTATAAATGCAAATTGTGGCAAAAATAATAAGTTTATCTCTAAATAGTAACAACTGTCTATTTCAATCTATGTTTTTAACTTTTCAGGCACTTTCTGCAGAATCTGTAGAGAAACTTCCTGTTTTCAACAAATCTGCATGTAAACGTTATCAGACCTCTATAGAAGCAGATGACTGGTGTGTTCCTAGGCAAAAAACAAATTTGTCAACATAGAATTTTATTGTGTGAAGAGTATATTTGTCCAACACATTGAGATGGGATCAAATCACAGTTTCAGAAGGAAATAATGAAGTAAATTACTTGAAGTCACTACTGACTACTGTTCAATACAAAGACTTAAATGAGATAAAAGAAATTATATTGAATGGATGCTATATGCTCTGTTTGTGTAATGTGAACTATTAGGAGAATCAAAGGCATAGATTCAATATGGAATATTGGTGGTCTTGAAGTTTAGATTAACACTCCAAAATTCTAATGTTTTCAGATTCCTATATTTTGCTATGTTCAAAAACATTGTTTTGTATGAATATCAACACAAAATAATAATTTTCTTCTTGTCACACTGACATGTCACACTTATAGTCTGTGAGAAAGTCTAGCTGAAATGTGTTTATTACTTAGCACAATCTTATGAAGAACTGGCATATGATAGTGAATTCCAAATAGTTAATTTTACTTGAATTTCCACAAATTGCTATATGTGTGCACAGTATCTTTCAGTTATTTTTCCAAATACTGGGAAATAATAGGAAAATATTAAACTGGTACCACTATAGATTATCTTGCCTTTTCTTTTTAAGGCAGAATTGTTGAAGAGCTAATACATTTTTAGGGAATTATTGTGACAATTTTAGATCTATTGTTATTTATGGCAATTTTATCAGTGCTGTATTTTCTAATGTCCACTTTTTCATGGATTCCAAATTCATGTGAGTAAGTAATCCCATCCATATGAAGCTATTCTGCAGTTGGTACAGTGTGACAACAAGGCTTAGTAGTTAACATTGACAAAATATTGAATGTTTTCTGCAGAAAATATAGTGCACACTTGGAAAATACTGAATGTTATGTTAAATATTATTAGAGCTGAATCATGAAAAAAAAAAATCTAATTGTTATTCTACTAGCAAGTTCATATTCGGTAGTCAGAGTGCATTAAAGATACTCCTGATTCATGGACTGCTTGAGTACCACATTCTGGTGCATATCACAAGTGGTATCAAGGTAATAGCATTAAATTTTATTAATCCAAAATTGTGGTTACGATAATTTGTTATTATGATACAGTTGTGTACTTTGACCAATATAGTACATAACATAAAGAGTTGCTTTGCTAATATTGCTGCTGATCTGCTCCACAATCTTTACAGAGAACCTGGAATAGAGAATCGGCCAGAGCCTTATACAGGATTGTGCCTATGCGCAATATTCCCTATGACACATGGATGAGGGAACTGAAAATGATCAAGCAATCTGGCAAGAACAGGATGGATGTGGTGCATCCTGCCTTAACCTTCTCGGTAGCTTTTGATTCTATTAGCCACGGTATTCTTTTGGGGACAACTTAGGGAATTGGGAGGTGTAGAACACTTTTGTGTTGGCTCATTCCTTTCTCTGACAATTGGTGTTGATAAGGAGTGAGAGATTAAGGCCTTTCTTTTGTGGGGTGCTACCAAACAGGGTTCATTTCTCTCTTTTTTGATGCCTTTTTTAATATCAGATTCCGGCTGAGATCTTCTGTCACCATGGGATGAAGTATCACTAATATCCTAATAATATCCGGTTCTAAATTTTCATCCTAGTGATAGTAAGTGATGTGATATTCTTCTACGGTGCCAAGCTATGGGGTTTGGATGAGGAACAAGAGGCTCCAACTGAACCCTGGAAAAATAGAGTGGCTATATCCAGGAGCTTATCATTTGGGTGGGTGGTAAAATACTGACAGACATGGTACTTAATCCAGGAGTCCTCGGACTCAGAGCAGGTGGCAGCCATGGCTAAGAAAACCTTTGCTGAAGTTTGTGTTATGGGACAGTTATTCCATTTCTTGGATAGGAAGACTCTCTGCTTGGTCACTCATGTTCTGGTCAACTCCTGTTTAGAAGATTACATAGCATTGTATATGGGGCTACCCTTGAGAAATAGCCAGAAGTCTGAGCTAGTGTGCATGAGCAAGTTTGGATGCCCAAAGAAGGATGTATCTAATACTTTTGCTCCATGAATTGTATTAGGTGCCAATTTGCTTCCAATACAGTTGAAGGTATTAGTTATGACCTATAAAGCCCTCCATGGCATGGAGCCAGGTTACCTATGGAAGTATTCTTCTACCACCCAGTAAGACAGGGAAGATATTTTGCAGATGTGTCAACCAATTAAAGAACTTTCAGGAGATTGTCTGGAATAGGGAATCGGCCAGAGCCTTATACAGGATTGTGCCGATGCGCAATATTCCCTATGACACATGGATGAGGGAACTGAAAATGATCAAGCAATCTGGCAAGAACAGGATGGATGTGGTGCATCCTACCTTAACCTTCTCAGTAGCTTTTGATTCTATCAGCCACGGTATTCTTTTGGGGACAACTTAAGGAATTGGGAGGTGTAGAACAGTTTTGTGTTGGCTCATTCCTTTCTCTGACAATTGGTGTTGATAAGGAGTGAGAGATTAAGGCCTTTCTTTTGTGGGGTGCTACCAAACAGGGTTCATTTCTCTCTTTTTTGATGCCTTTTTTAATATCAGATTCCGGCTGAGATCTTCTGTCACCATGGGATGAAGTATCACTAATATCCTAATAATATCCGGTTCTAAATTTTCATCCTAGTGATAGTAAGTGATATGATATTCTTCTACGGTGCCAAGCTATGGGATTTGGATGGGGAACAACAGGCTCCAACTGAACCCTGGAAAAATAGAGTGGTTATATCTAGGAGCTTATCATTTGGGTGGGTGGCAAAATACTGACAGACGTGGTACTTAATCCAGGAGTCCTCGGACTCAGAGCAGGTGGCAGCCATGGCTAAGAAAACCTTTGCTGAAGTTTGTGTTATGGGACAGTTATTCCATTTCTTGGATAGGAAGACTCTCTGCTTGGTCACTCATGTTCTGGTCAACTTCTGTTTAGAAGATTACATAGCATTGTATATGGGGCTACCCTTGAGAAATAGCCAGAAGTCTGAGCTAGTGTGCATGAGCAAGTTTGGATGCCCAAAGAAGGATGTATCTAATACTTTTGCTCCATGAATTGTATTAGGTGCCAATTTGCTTCCAATACAGTTGGAAGATATGTCAATCAGTTAAAGAACTTTCAGTATCTTCACCCCCACCCCAAAGGTGAGGTAGGTCAGGATTATCCTGGCCGCCTGAAAAAGAGTTAAAACATTGCTCTGTGGGGGACCCAGAGGAACACAGGGCTGGCTGGTGCCCTGAAAGCCCTCCCTTTTGATTCATTTCAAAGATGTTTTATCACCCTTTACTCTTTAACTTTGTTAACGTTTATATATTTTTATATATTAATACTTTGTTGCACACCATCTGAGAAAGAGATGGGTGTGAAAATTAAAAATAAAATTTAAAACAAACATTATCAATCCATGCACTGCCTCTAGAAAATTACTACAGATGTGGTCTTTGTGCTATTGCAATTTGTCTTTCTAAATTACTGAATAGTTTAAAAACCTTGTATTGGACTGGAACAAACATGAGCCTAAATACATTTAACAAAAATATTTTTGAGTAAATGCTGTTTTGTATACAACACATTTTATCAAAAGCTTGTAGAATATGAGAAACCTGAGTGTTTTTAATTTTAGAGTGAATCATTTTTGTCACAATTTACATTCTGGGACAGGTCACTTGAAATACACTATGCTTATAATAAAATGTTTTTTTTAATATTTCTGGACTCTGCTGTTCATGAAATGTATTTATTCGTTCTACAGTCTATTCCATTTTTATACCTCACTATAATAATTGTTCTAACATTTCAGCTCTTAGGCCTGGAGAGTAAAGAATAAAGAACAGTTGCAGGATTTTGGCTAGTCCAGAGGGAGAAAAAAGACTAGGGGTGAGATGATAGCATTATTCCAGTATTTGGAGGCTGCTACAAAGAAAAGGTCAACTTATTTTCCAAAGAACCAGAGAACAGGACAAGAAACAATGGATGGAAAATAATCAAGGAGAGAAACAACCTGGAATTAAGGAGAAACTTCTTACCATGGTGTCCTCCAAAGGCGGATTTAACTATAATTACCCAGTAACATAGCCATATCTACTTAGATGCATAAAAATTAAAACTGACTTGATTTTGAACGGAAAATCTGGAGAAAGTAGATATAAAAATGATATATAGCTCACAGATATGTTTACCTGTCGATATCAGTTTTACAAAATATATTCATGCTCTCCATCAATAAATATTGCATGTATAAAAGAATGAACTTTATGCTTTAAACTAGAATTTAAAAGTTGTCCATAAATAAAATTACACCTTTTTCTTGTCAGAAAGATAGATGTGGTTATTGGAAGAATATGCATTTGGAGAAGATATTGTCAAACTTGGCAAATTCAAGATAAAATAAGTGTTTTACTATACTGCGATGACTGCTTTTGTTCCAGGGTCCACAAAACAGAATTAGCAATTATTAAGCTATCTTCCATTATCTAGGTTAGCTGACAGCAAAGTATACCAGAGTTGATTGTGTACATTAAGTATATGTTTTCCAGCAGACAAATGAAGACTTTTATGTTACCAATAGAAAATCAGAGGAATTCAGAATTAATTTTTACAAAGGTAATCCAAGTGACTTCTTAAAAAGAATTAAGACATCAGTGAAACTTTCAAATACTTTTGTAGAGATGTTTCTAGTATAGTAGATAAAAATTATAATCTTGGAATAATGAAAAGATAAATATCAAGCAACTAAATGATAGAAATGGTAGTCTTTTCACTGGAAAACCCTTAGTAAATGTACACAGTATGAACAATGTTATTTAAATTATACACTACAGCTATCATATCTTAGGTGTGTATCTTTGGAAAAGGACAGTAGATAAAAGCTAAGAGTGTTTTTGTGCTGTGCTTTTCATCTAGTAGTTATCTTGTTTTTGAAAATCAAATTGTTAATGCTAATTTAGATTAGAGAACTGATTAGAAAGAATATGCCTTTTTTAAATGTTAAGCAAATATCAATCCAGCTGATTTTTTAGTTCACTTTTGATCTTGAAAAGCTTTACAAACATTTTAAGAAAGCAATGTGGGAAGAGTCTACTCAACATGTAAACATCCAAATGTGCTTTGTCATTTTAGGTTTGATGGTATATTTTATAAACTCCATCAAGATTTCTTTGGTTAAGCAAATTGCAATTATCACAGTATATAAACTAGCCACTGACTTAACAGAAACAGATGAAACTAGTCTTGCTGAGTACAACACAAGATATACAACTGAAAACTTTGGCTTCCCCTGAGAAGAAGAAGAATAAGGAAAGTAGAAGGAAAAGAAATAACCCATCTTGTCCTTGGAAATACTTTATATCAGTTAGAAAAAGCCCTATCCCACAGCTCTAAATATCTCAAATTCTGAGTATGCTGGGATCCAGAATCAATTTGTGTTGCTAAAATCTCTATATATCACAGTGCCTTGCCTCAGAGAAGTGTGGTAGCAATAGGAATCCTGCCTTTGTAGGGAAACAGGAGGAAAGGACTTCATTGCAGTTATGCCACTTCTATTTATGCTGCACACAGCCAAGCTTTATGAAAAGGATTAAGTGTTTCCTAATGCTTGACAATACAGGAACCATTTGTAACAAAGCTGGAAGATTATTCCAACTGTTTTGAGGCTGTAAGCTTTCAAAAACAGAGAGTTAAGCCTGCCTCCCATTGGTTCTTCTTAGCTCTAGACAACTTGAAATGAATTGACAGGTTTAAATAAAGGGCGAATCAGCTGCAGACACTTTAGGATGAACAAGAGTTGGGGAGGTCATGTTCCAAACAACAAAGATGTAAAGGTTACCAAGCTGTTAAAAATAACCTTCAGGCAAACTAAATTGGTTCTCAGTCAGTAGCTATTGCTTCTTGTTCTCCTTTTGCTTACAGATTTTCCATTCCTTATTTGGGGGAAGTTTTTATGCTAAGTAAACATATACTATATTACTCCTGTCGGAGACAGATAATCTGCAGTTTTCCTTCCTTTCTGTTTTTTAAATGTTTTCTTGGCATTGTTCTTCCATTCTCACAAGTCTGTTGTCTGTTAGCTGAGAGAACAACATGTACCCTGCTACCAGTTACACAGACAATTAAAAAAAACATGTTTATGTGCAGTAGTGACAAAGGGTAAATTGTGAAATGGACACTCTCACCCTCCAAGCACGTGGTGGAGCTCTTTGAAAGTGAAAACCAAAGAACATTTTAATGAAAGTCAGATCTGCCTCTATACATTTGCATCTGTCAGCAGGTTGGTTTCTTAATCTGGAAAGAGTAAGATTATTTTACATGATTTTATTTGGCTTTATATAAAATGATGAGCCTTTTTTTTATTCTGCTGATCATTACAGAAGCATTCAGCAATGGATCTATCTTCATTCTAGCATTTTCCCCTTTCTGTAATTTGTTAATTAAATGCACATTTGCACACAAATCATGTTTAATGTGTTACTGCAGCATAACATACACTGACATTTGTATAAAACAAATCTAGGATATTTAATGTTTTTCAATGCAGATATCCTGGCCAGAAAAAAAATCCAGACGATCACTAGATGGTAGCAAAGAGAAAATGCTAACTCTGTGAAAGAGGAACAGGCAGAGCCTGGGGCTGAAATCAAGAGAGGACAAGCCTAGAGTGTCCACAAATACTACAAGTCCACCCCACTCATCCCCAAATTGTACTAACTCTTATATAGTGCCAATATAGTTTTGATCAGTAGTTGACCAGATTTTTATGTATAGGCTTGAACAATAAATCTTATGAACCTGAATTTATGTGAGATCCTGATTCTTCATGCCTGAATTTGGTCAATTCCTTTTAAACTTTTCACCTGGCTATATAATCCAATTCTTGCAGATCTGGTTGGAGGACGTTGAAAAACACCACCAGGTACTGTATCCTTGTTTGTGATGAGAGCAGGGGTCTTGAAAAATAAGGTATAATTGTGGTACCCCTACCTTTGAGAGAAGAGATTTGCATCTTTGCCACAATAATCACACACTAGGGAAGTTTTCAAAATGCTGCAATAGAACATTAAGAGACATCTGGCTGTCTAAGATGGCAGCAGGGAACAAGCCCATGGAAGTGGAGGGGCAAGTTGGAGGGCAGGATAATGTAGAAAAAGAGCAGGCAGACCATGGAGGTGGAATCAAGAGAGAACTCAGTCTAGAATCTTACATGTCTACAAATGCTCCAAGTAAAGATTCCCCTAGCATCAACTTAATATTGACCATTAGTTGACCAGATTCTTGTGGATAGGCTTGAACAATAAATCTTCTGAACTGGAACTTACATGTGATTTTGAGCCACACTGAGGGAGGAGGAATTGTTTTGGGACACATACAAAATACATAATATTAATATAACAACATTCTTTTCTGGGAATAGCTTATATATTAACAGTCTATAGTAGCATGCATCCTGCCAGCCATGGGCTGGATACGTCTGGTCTAAAGTTTTCCCATCATTGAAAAACATCCATCTTTATTCCTCATCTGTTAATTTTACAGAATTTCTAAAGATTCTCATAATCATCATATACAATTTGCATCTAATGGTAAACAATTAATTATAGTTTGTTGAATAAATTCAGTTTGACTGGGTTCACATACTCCATTAAGTCATGATATCATTATTTAAATCCACAATGCCTTGGTTTCTAAAATTATCTAAAAACTAAAAGCAAATTAATCTGTTAATCTGTATTTCTATCTCTAATTCCACTATCTATGTCTTTCTCTCTGTCTCTGTCTGTCTGTCTATCTATCATCTATCCATCTATCTCCTAATGAACCATCACAGGTACAAATGCATAATTTTGGGGGGTGTCAGGTGCAATAAATCAGGAACCAAAGTGGTTCAAGTAACTACAGATTTATTGCATGCTAACACTCTACAAAAATCTAAACTACTAATGGTCAAAGCAAATTAGCAATAAATAAGAGTCAACAAAATTAAGATGGGCTAGACTTAGATTTCTTCTGGGCATGAAGGGACTCAAAACTGATGACACACATAACCTTTCCCTCAGTCTCAGCCTGATCACATCTGACAGGGGACACTGTACTACAATGGTGTTCCTTCTTTCTACGTGACCAGTTCCAGTTTGGGGGGTGCTTAGCCCTACAGTTGCCAGAAGTTAAAAATTGACTTGAAGCACTTGCACATACATGCCAAAACAGCTGATTTTGTTCAGTGATTTTTACTGCTTTGTTTAGTTTGTATTCTATCCTAGACATCAATAACATGTTTCTTGATTTTTCATTGTTTTTACTTTTAAAGTATACCTGCCCAGAGAGGTTTGGAGTCAAGTGGCCTTAGGAAAAGTGATATAACTTCAAAACTAGTCAAATGAAGTTCCAGGACAGCAATTAAAATCAGCCTGACATGGATACCTGGGGAGATCTAAATAATCATTTTGTAAGCACCTTGAAACATTATGGAGATTGTCCAAAGGCAGCATGGATTTTTAAGAACAAATTCAGCTTAGCTAATCTTTTGTCAGTTTTTCATTGGATGACTGTTTTTGCGCATTGTGAGAATTCTGTGACTATGATATCTTTTGAATTTGTTTGTTTATATAAAATGTATTGGCCTCCTACATTTCCAAAAGGGTGCCTTACACTAATAACATCAAGTGTGTGTGTGTGTGTGTGTGTGTGTGTGTGTGTGTGTGTGTATCTTAAGTTTTCGAGGGTACTTACATGTATGGCATTCAGCTTTGTTCGGGTATTTTCCCATGTCATTGTAGTTCTGCTTTTAAAGTTGTAGCAACGTTTCGGCAGAATCTCATCTGCCATCATCTGCCAGGCTTCTGTATAGTGTTCATCTGTGAGTCAGACTTTTACAGTGGTTTCAGATTTAAATTTGGGGCAGCCTATTGCTGTGCCAGAATGGTTTTTTCTTCATCCTGATTGGTTGGGAGTCTTGGTCTGTGTTTATTGGTCTTGGAGTTTGCTGTGTTCTGCTTGATTGGTGTTTCTAATATCTCCTGTCTGTATTTTGGCTCTTTTTGTATTTTGATTGGCTGGCAACATTGTGTTACTTTATTGGAGGCCTTTAGTGCAGCTTGGCTCCAGGTAAATGGACGGCTATCATTAGTTAGGAAGCTAGGTTTCATCTGGGTGCCTGGTTGGGGTGTGTTTGAGCTGGAGGTATCAGGGGGATCTGTTTGTGCCCAGGTGTTTGCCTGGCTTGTGGTGTGGAGATTTTTTTTGTTTGTGAGTGCAGGCTTCCAAATGATTGACAGTCTGGTGGAATCATCTCTTCTATTCATATATATATTCTGAATTTGTTCTTGAAAATCCATGCTGGCTTTGGACAATCTCCACAATATTTCTTGCTTAGCAATGGAAAATTTGGGCTCAATTATGATTCTAAATCAAGGACTACCTGCATTTGATTTGTTCTATAAATGAGAACACTTTAAAAGGGAAAACAATGAAAAATCAAGTAACAGGTTATTGATGTCTAGGAAAGAACACAAACTAAATAAAGCAATATACATGTGTATATATATATATTGTGGGAAGGCAAGTGCATCAGCAGAGAAAGCCTTTCTCCTGGACCTCACCCACAGTCTGCTTCTAGTGCAATTCAAGATATTGTAATCACCTTTAAAGCCCTTCATGGAAAGGGTCCACGCTATTTGAGGGACCACCTCATCCTACTGGGATTGACGCATCCCCCCATGCTGGCAGAAGAGGCATGCTACAGGCCCCATCAGGCCGCAGGGACCCACAGCATGCCTCCTCTGCTGGCACAGGTGAGATGTGCCAATCCCAGTAGGATGAGTTGGTTCCTCAAGTAGCCTGGACCCATGCCATGAAGGGATTTAAAGGTGATCAACAATACCCAGAAGCAGTTTGTCATCCAACATAGTTAGTGGAGTAGTGTTTCATGGGCTATTCTTCAGAGCCCAAGAACTGCCCATGCTGCTGGCATGGCATCAGCTATAGCTTATGAATGATGTTCAAAGGTAACAAAGAATTTAACAAGCACTCTAGTAATTAAGCAAGCTGGTGTGAATGGCATGATTCTTCGGTGGTTATGTAATTGACTCAAAAATCATTCTTAGAGTATTTTCATAAATTGTTCCTTATCAGATCAGAGTGAAGTGCCATAACTAATTCATTCTTGACCCTGCATTCTTTGACATGTTTGCTAATGACTTAAAATGAAGAAGTGGAGGGAAACTTATTAAATAATACAAATTGAGTGAAGAGGATAGCTAAGACAGAAATAACATTGCAAGAAATCTTGCTACATTAGTGATATAACAAAGTTCATAGTCTTCATTTAGGAAACAGAAACCAAATGTTTAGAATGAGAGGCCTGTTTGTTAGTGGCATTTGTAAACAAAAAACAACCACCCATGTAATAATAGTTGATTAATTGAAAACTGAATGTGAACCAGCAGTGTGTCATAACTCCAAAAAACAAAAAGGAGCCAATGAAATGCTAGTTCAGCCATAAAAACCCCATCATGCTTTTGTAGTGAGATACACATATGACAGGGATATCATAAACTCCATAGCATAGTTGGGCAAGTCTATGCAGGGTAACCAGATAGGTATTACCAAAACAGAAGACAATACAAGGCAAAAATGTGCTTATATGTCAGCAGGTTTAGAAATATTTCCCATCGTTTAATTAAAATACCAGTGTTAGAAATTAAAGGCTTTTGATTTGCCCCTCTTCCCCTTTTTTTACCCAAATTAGGCTGATAAGAGAAATAATCTTTAATGCTCCCGTTTGATCACTTCATAATAAATTCACACATAATGAAGAATCTCCACATCTGAGGGTGATCTTCCTTTCTAGATTTCACAGGGCAACATTTTAATATACACATCCAAATGCCTCAGGATCAAACCCAAGGCAGAAGCACTTCAATCTCCACAAACTAAACTTCCAAGCCCACTTGTCATTTTGTGTCTGTGTCTGTGTGTGTATGTATGTGTGTGTGTGTGTGTGTGTATGCACACATATATACAGATAAATGGTATAGATATAGATGATATAGATATAAATAGACACACACACACATATTTTACTGGTAGACCTCTAATGATATAGGGTACCTTTAATGGTTGTAACTTGTATGTGGCTGAATGTGTAAGCTACTTCCAGGAGCTGCCCATTTGTATTTATTTGTGACTTGGTTCAGAAAAGCTTAGAATATCAGACAAAGAAAAATTTTCTAACGCCAGAAAACCAGATTAAATTACCAGATGACGAAAGCATTTGCTCTGAGTGCACTGCAGCACTTAAATTTCCCAGCCACGGGTTAAGAGAGGATAACTTCCCAGACAAGAAATGCTGATTTGCTACATCAACAATTCTCCCCTCCCCTCTCCTCCCCTCCCTTCCCAAGATTTTTGGAAGTGTTTTGTCATTGCCTTCTTTGTAGGACTGGGAAAAAAAGGACTGGCCCAAGAACATCCACCAGGTGTAGTTGCTTTAACTACTACATCAAACTAGCTGCTTTTTTTAAAAAAAAAATCTCAGATTGTATGTATACCTACAAGTCAGCATTAAATTCTGGTGACTTCCTGGATGAGTCCTTGCAATTTGTTTGGCAAGATTTCCAGAGCAGATTGAGAGAGGGCGACTGGCCCAAAGTTCCCCACTGGCTGTGTGCCTAAAGCCACAAAGGAATCATTAACAGGGATAATAATTCACAGTCTTCTTTTTAGCCTGAAGCTTTGACCACTATATCAAACCTTTTCTATCCTTTCCTAACCATGCTTCATTTTAAAACTACCAATCAGACTTTCAGGTGCAGAATTGTCTCCAAAATACAGGAGAATAAGACTTTTTTTTTTTCAGTTTTCCTGTTTTATTAAATAAAGTCAATGTGCATACAAAGAGCCCTCTCTTTGCACAAGAGCTGCTGAGTGACTTTGGGCTAATCATTCTCTGCATCTCCTAGAACAGTAAATCAAAAAGAATCTACCACCAAATCACAGTGGACTGTTATGATAGATTATCGGTCATGGGATTAATTCAAACTGATTCTCACCCTCTCTCCCTCATACACTACACTAAATCAATTATAAATCCATCCTTCTGACAAATACATTAGCTTGATTTGCTTTCTCTTTTATAGAACCAATCAAATACAGGTAGTCCTTTATTTATGATCTTAATTGAGCCCAAATTTTCCATTGCTAAGCAAGACAGCTGTTAAGTGAATTTTGACTCATTTTATGACCTTTCTTGCCACAGTTGTTAAGTGAATCATCGTATCTGTTAAGTGCATCTGGCTTCCCCATTGATTTTGCTTGTCAGAAGGGTGCAAAAGGTGATCACATGACGACAGAAGACTCAGATGTGGTATTCAGCAGGTTCTGACCAGTTCTGGAGAACCGATAGTGGAAATTTTGAGTAGTTCAGAGAACTGACAAATCCCACCTCTGACTGGAGATTTTACAGTATCCTTCCCCTGCTAAGCCCACCAAGCCAAGCTCACAGAACTGGTAGTAAAAAAAAATGAATTCCAACACTGGGAAGACTGTACCTGTCATAAATATGAATCAGTTGCCAAGCATATGAATTTTGATCATATGATCATGGAGATGCTGGAATGGTCATATGTTTGTTGGAAGAAATATCCATCTGGTTTATTCCCAAGCTGGGACAAAGACACTAGAAACATGGAGACTGATTGGAAAGGTGGTTGAATGATAAACAGAACTAATAGCAGTCTAGGATCAGCTGACCAATTGGTTGGTCAGATCATTATTTTTATTCAGTTTGTTATACAGCATTTTGTAAGTTAGAGGTTTGTTTTGTGTATTTTGTTATTTGATTTTAATTAGGTATCTCACAAAGGGGCAATGAGTCTAAAGTGCTGGCTTCCTTGGATTTTTAATCCCGTTTACCAAATGTAATTAATCCTAGATGCTGGCTTTCTTGAGGTTTTAATCCTGTCTCGAATGGATCACCAAATCTACATTTTTAAAAGGCGGCCTCCTCAGTTTCTTGGAGTGAGGGAAACTGAGTCTGCTTTCTGTTTTTTAAGAGCATGTTTCTCTATTTATCATTTAGGGAAATACAATATTCTGCCTTTTTTTATATTCCTCAAAATATTTCATTCTTCTGGGGGGAGGGGGCGGCTTCCCACAAGTTTGAAAAACAGTCAAAAGTCACATTTGTAACTTCAAATGGTCACTAAACGAACTGTTATATGATGAAGACTGCCTGTTGCTAAATCCTACAGAATCAGATTAGAGATTTAGACACCAACCTAAATTGTTTGACTATTCTTAGAGGAAAATCAGATGGAAATGAAAGGAAAAACAGGCAGGGAGAGGGAAACCATACATTCAGATAGCTCAGATGCAGTTTGGGTGAAGAAAGTAGCACTTCGTCAAAGCAGCAAAGGTTGAGAAACATCATTCAGCATTAGTTCATTATAATCTGGATCTTCTCTACTAAATTTAAAAAAAAAATAGCAGCAAAACAGAACATCTCAGAACCTAAATATCTGGAGATTTTCAAGTCATCCAGGACATGGTTGTCCCAAAGGTGCTTTTTCAAGAGGCAACTGGACTTTCTGGTTTTTCTTTGAAGATCTTTTGCTTCTTTAAAGAAAAACCAGAAAGTCCAGTTGCCACTTTGGGATCTCAAAGCCTACTTAATCAACAAAAGCAGATTCATCACTACATTTATTTTTTATTTATTTGATTTGTCAATCGCTTACAAGATGCAGATATAAGAAGAAACATAGTTTTGAATACATCAGATAGATACTTATAAGAAAAATAAAAAGAAACAATAGGAGAGGGATGGTAGGCACAATTGGTGCGCTTATGCATGCCCCCTAGAGGCCTCTTAGGGAGGGGTTGAGGTCTGTAGTAGACAGTCTAAGGTTAAAGTTTTTGGGGTTTGAGAAAGAAGCCACAGAGTCAGGTAGAGTATGCCAAACATTGACCACTCTGTTCCTGAAGTCGTATTTTCTGCTGTCAAGTTTGGTGTGGTTAAGCTTAAGTTTGTATCTATTGTGTGCTCTTGTATTGTTATGATTGAAGCTGAAATATTCACTTGCAGGTAGGACATTGCAATGTATGGTTTTATATACTATATTTAGATCAGACCGAAGGTGGTGTAGTTCTAGGTTTTCCAGGTCTATAGTTTCAAGTCTGGTGGCATAAAGTATTCTGCAATGAGTAGAGGAGTGGAGAAATCTTCTTGTGAAATATTTCTGGACTTTTTCAATTATATCAGATACATGATATGGGTTCTAGACTAATGAGCTGTATTCAAATATAGGTCTAGCAAATGTTTTGTATGCTCTAGTTAGTAGTGTGATATTACCAGAGAAGAAGTTACATAGGATTAGATTAACAACTCTTAATGCCTTTTTGGCTATGTAGGTACAGTGGGCGATAGCACTTAGATCATTAGAGATGAGTGCTCCAAGGTCCTTGACAGAATTTGGATCCTCAACAAGGTCTTGACTATTTAGCTTGTATTTCATTTTCTGATTTATTTATTTTTTTGCCAATATGTAAGACAGAGCATTTATTTGTTGAGATTTGAAGTTGCCATTTGATTGATCATTCTGATACATAGTCAAGGTCTTTTTGGAGGGTAGAAGTATTGTCTGTGGTGTTAAATAGCTTTACTTCATCAGCGAAGAGAACACAGTTGCTCTTATTATGATCACAGAGGTCATTTAGGTAGAGTATGAAGAGAGTTGGTCCTAAAACACTGCCTTGGGAGACACCACTGTTGACAGGTACAGAATTTGATATTTTGGCCATTTGTTGTCTGTTTGACAGGAATGCTTCTATCCAGTTATGTAGGTGTCCAGAGATACCATAAGATTTTAGTTTTAGTAGTAGTTTGTCATGTACCACTGAATCAAAGGATTTACAGAAGTCTATGTAGATTGCATCTATTGCTTTGCCCCGATTGAGTTATGTAGTCCATATGCTTTTGCAGTGTAAAAGTTGCAGATTACAGGATAGTTTTTTCTGAAACCAAATTATTTATTAGAGAGTAGGTTGTTTGTCCCTAAGTGGAAGATAATGGATTGGTTAATAATTGATTCCATGACTTTACAGGTGATGCAGCATAAGGACATTGGCCTGTAATTTTCAACTAGGCTGGGATCTCCCTTTTTGAAGATGGGAATGATTGTGGCTAGTGACCATAGTTTTGGCAAGGAGCTGGTCCTGAAAGATTTTTCAAAGATTATGCTTAGAAGTTCGGCTATGGCAGTGGATAGCTTTTTTAAGAAGTAGGCACATATTCCGTTCGGTCCAAAAGATAGAGATGGTTTTAGAATGCATAGTGCTTTTTCAACAATGTCTCCTGTAAAATTGATATGTATTAGATCATTGCAGTTGTCTGTGGTTCGACTAGGAAGTACTGGGCTTGATCCATTGCTGTTTATAAATATTGAGCCAAAGAATGTGTTAAAGAGGTTTACTTTGATGGTGTCGTTGTTGCGGTCTTTGCCATTAGGTCCTTTCAGGGGTGGGATGCAGATCAGCAGATCAGCAGATTCTTCTTTATTGCAAAGAAATATGTGTTTGGATCAAGACAGTGTGTATGTATTAAATCCATTATTCTGAAATGGTTTCTGAATTTTGTATGTATATGCATGGGTACATGTATATCCCTTTTCTTTCACTTTCCTTTCATTATATAATTAGACAGTCTTTTCTGACTTAACTTCATTCCAGTAGCCTTACTTCCCCCTGCTGTTTTGTGTGTCTACTGCACTTCAGCATTTTAGAAAATACTAAGAAAAAGCCTTTTCTATTACTTTAAATAATTCTTGTTTTGCTGAATAAGATGGAATCAGGACAAAACGATAGAAATGATCTAGTGCTGCCCTCTTTTGACCAAATTCATGCTAATTTGTACAGCACATAAAACTGAGAGAGAGAAAGAGATGCCTAAAATGTAAACAAAATTACAGTTTGAAAATATACAAGGAAAATTTATACTGCCAGGTGAAATTCATGAAGAACAGTAGAACTGAATTCAGCCATTTTTATCCATTATCTTTCAACAATATTATCCCTTTATTCTGTTTATAATGACATTAAGACAACTGTAACAAAAATTAATGCTCATTAACCTGATAAACATAAAAATATTGATGAATTATTTTCCTGAAAAAAATCCTCTTTAATGAATTATTGGATCTGAGAAAATCGGAGGATGAGGGTGCAAATGACATCAAAGTGGTATGAGATTTATGATAGTTCGTGTGGGATCTATTAAAGAAGCAGACTGATTTTTGAATCAAAGAAAAAAAAGACTGCCTCTTAATTAAGGTGACCAACCATCCTCCTTTAGGGAGAACAGTCCTCCTTTTGTAAGTTCTGTCATCTCTCAAAAAGTGTCCTCCTATATGTCCTCCTTTTTGATATTTGAAGACTAATCTGTAAATCTCCATAATTGATTGATGCTGATCCGATCTGTTGTGTGTGATGTGACATATTTGTATTTGACATGACGATTCATCAAGGCTCGGTACAGTGTGGCGAGACATGATTATGAGACGCATGCGCTCCACACAGGAGAATTGTTTTGAGAGAGTGTGCCATGCGCAAGAATGCGCCACGCTCAAGAGTGTGCCACACGCAAGAGTGCACTGCACGCAAGAGTGCGCCATGTGCAAGTGGCTTTGGTTCTTTTCTTCAATTTATTTGTGTCCTCCTTTTCATTGTAAAAAAGTTGGTCACCTTATTTTAATATATACCAGAAACGTTGAATTTATACATTAGAAATCCTGATTTGTTTATGTCTTTCTGACTAAACAGTTGATTGACTTATCTGCTAATGCATTAGTCATGGTTTACTAACATAATGGCAACAATGAAACAATAGAACAATCTAAGCTAAAATTAGATCACATTATGGCTCAGTATTGAGTTAACAGCCATTATCAATTTATCTACCTTTTCCAAAAAACAGTATTTTTAATGGTAACATGCTGATATTTTCTTTTTTATAATATTTGTATTAAAGTATTAAAGATGAAACATGATAAAAACTAAAACCAACAAAAATAAAAGGGAAGAAAAGGGAAGAAAAAGGAAGGGCAGGGGGGAAAAGAAACAGGAAAGAAAATAGGGAAAACTAAATATATAAAAAATAGTACAGAAAGTACAAGTACAATTTCAGTAACTTACCACTCTCTGCTACAACAAAAAAAACCCTCTTCTTCTCACCTCTTATCAGTAAGTAAATTTTAAATACTCGTCATTTAGCCTTAATCAGAAAAAGTCCATTAAGAGTCACCAGAAATAAATAAATAAATAAATAAATAAATGTATGTATGTATGTGTGTGTGTGTGTGTGTGTGTGTGTGTGTGTGTTTGTTTCTTAAGTTTTCACGGGTACTTACATGTATGGTATTCAGCTTTGTTCGGGTATTTTCCCACGTCCTTTGTAGTTGTGCTTTTAAAGTTGTAGCAACGTTTCGGCAGAATCTCATCTGCCATCATCATATCCGAACAAAGCTGAATACCATATACATACATACATACATACATACATACATACATACATACATATCAACCTTAATCAAATAAACCAGATTTATTTTCATTTCCTTTACTTTTCCTGATTCTGTTATGTTGCTACTACAATAGCCACATTTAAATATCAGGTGTGATAAGCCCATGATTTAACCTTGGTTTATTGAATAAGTTATAATTGATATGGGTCACATAACTAATGCTGATTAAAATGTGAAGAGTTATCTTCAAGATTCTTCGGCCATGGACACGAACTGTCTCTCAATCTAATATACCTCCAGAGTGGCAATCAAAGGAAACTGAAGTGAGTTCTCTACATGTTTCTTTGACTCCTAAACTAAAAGTAATTAATACATTGAATAATTAAAGAGGCAAAGTGACATTTAAATACATCATAGTTGAGATTAAGCATATTTTAGGGCCTAGCTATAGTAGTATTCTTAATGAAAAGGAAGTGAGCATAGAGGATAAGTAAAGACACCCAGTGTAGCATAGAAAAAGATATTTGGTGTAATTGAAACAGTTATATTTGATTAAATATTTATGCCAGATTTTGAATTGCAGTGATTTATGAGTTCCAACCCATAAATCCATAAATTCAATCCTGACTGCTCTTTAGAAGGCCAGATCCTGAAGATAAAACTCAAAAACGTTGGCCACCTAATGAAAAGGAAGGACTCACTGGAGAAGAGCCTAATGCTGGAATAGATTGAGGGCAATAGAAGAAGGGGACGACAGAGAATGAGGTAGCTTGATGGAGTCATTGAAGCAGTCGGCGTGAGCTTAAATGGACTCTGGGGAAAGGTAGAGGACAGGAAGACCGGGAGGAATGTTGTCCATGAAGTCACAATAGGTCGGACACAACTTTGCAATGAATAACAACAACATGGGTTCCACACATTATCGTCTCCTCTCTTTTATCCATTTTTTTTTAAATGGCAGAATGTTGTCAGGAAGGGGGAGGGGCTGTAGCAACTATTGCATAGATGCAACCAAAAATAATGTCAGCAGAACCTTGTGTAATTTTGTCTGTATCAGAAAGATGTTATCAATGCAATTTGGCAGCAGGTGCAAAGTTCATGTCTTGTAACATACTTCTTATATATCCCACGTCTTTGCTCCCAAGAAACTGGGAAATCTGAAATGCATACTGATGTACATCCAGAAAGGGGTGGCAAAGGGCTGTTGTGGAAGATTTATTTCTGACCGACCTTTTAGCCAGATGAAAAACAGCAGTAAAAAGAGTGCAAGTCAATTTTGTTCCGATACCAATGTTCTCCTGTGTTTTAAAGAGACTGCAAATTCTTCATACTGTAATCTGAGTCGTCCTGCTGAGTTTTTGTCATATGCCACAACGGGTATAATCTAGCACCTGCTTAGAACAAAACTGTCGCGTGAGGCTAGATGCCCACAGAATGAAGAGGGAGGGTAGTTTCAACATAAGGAGGGGTTTGGAAAGATCAGTGACAAAGATTCTTTCTTTTTCACTCAGCATGGGACCCTTAGCTGTAATGACAGGGCCGCACAGCCTTATTGTTCTTCTCTACACCACCCTGTTCTACATGTACACACTGACATGCTCAAAGAATGAAATCATGCATGCAAATTTTAAACATGAGCCCTCTCCTTCTTTCCCTAGCCCTGCGGAAAGTTCATTTTGTTGACAACTGTCTTTTTTTAATTTTTCACTTCTGAGCAGCCTTAGCCATGGTGGGTTTGTTGAAGTTACTGTCTATTTTATTTTTTTCAGTGCAGTGATAAAAAATGTCCTTTGTATTGTAGATACACACCACCAGGAACAGCAATAGCCCTTGATTACAGTGTATTATAATGCAGCTATGCGCAGCAAGTGTCCTTCAGCTGTGTTAGACTATAGTCAGCATGTTGGGTGATAATTTATCTGACAGAAGCCATAAAAAGTTGAAAATAAACTTTTTGATGTGCCTTTTCCCCTTTTATTTTGTTTTAAAAACTGTTAGCAACAACAACAAATCACAGATTATGACTACAATCACACACAGGATAAACCCAAATTCTTTATATCATTATTTATTTTTTTAAAATATATTTTTATTTATGCATAATATTTATATGGTTGCCAGTTTCACAAAAATAAAGCTCTGGCAATAGGCAATAATGTTCTGATTGCACATAATCCAAAAACGTAATAGGTAGTTTATCTACCCACTTAAATAAAAATCAAAACAACTTCACTAAGTTTTGTGAGATGTGTCAACCTAGCAAATTACTTTGTAGGGCATAATATTTTCTGACCACAAAAATGGTATAGATTGAGTTTCTAGAGAACATTCTGGAAGGGAAAATGACTTGACAACTCCACCAGTGTTCCTTTTAATTAAAAAGGTATTTTGTGGTTAATATATATTTAACACAGAATAAGAGAGTTGGAATGGACCTTATAAATCATCTAGTCTAACTCCTTGCTCAAGCAGGAGATCCTATACCATTTCTGATAAGTGGCTGTCCATCTCTTCTTGAAAGCTTCCAGTGATGAAGCACCCACAACTTCTGAAGGCAAATTGTTCCATTGGTTGATTGTTCTCATTGTCAGAAAATGTCTCTTTATTTCTAGATCGATTAGTTTCCATCCATTGTTCCTTGTCTGGCCTTTGGGTGGTTTGGAAAATAGTTTGACCCCCTTATTTCTTTGAAAGCCCCTGAAATATTGGAACACTGCTATCATGTCACCCCTTCTCTTCATTAGACTAGCCATGCCTAGTTCTTGCAACTTTTTTCGTATGTTTTAGCCTCCAGGCCCCAAATCATCTTTGTTGCTCTTCTCTGCACTCTTTCTAGAGTCTCAACTTCTTTTTTATAGTGTGGTGACCAAAACTGAATGCATTATTCCAAGGCATTATAAAATGATATTATCACGTGATCTTGATTCTATCTCTTTATTAATGCAATTTAGGATTGCATTGGCTTTTGGGGCTGCTGCCACACACTGCTGGCTCATATTTAATTGATTGTCCACTGGGACTTCAAGATCCTTCTCACAATTACTGCTATTAAGCCTGGTTTCGCCCAGTCTATATGTGTACTTTTGGTTTTTCTTGCCTAAGTATAAGACTGTACTTTTCTCCACATTGAATTTCATTTATCCACCACAGCAGCCATTTTGATCTGTACCCCAATTCCAAATATGCCCAATATCAAATATAGTTATGAATCCCTCCAGGGATGGGATGTTGCTGGTATAACAACCAGTTCCCGGATCGCACACTTTGCACGTGTGAACAGCAATGCAAAAATCCTTATGTGCTATGTTACTTTGAGGGAGTAACACAACTGAGGAGCATCAATCTGCTCTTCCACACTGATCAGCTGTGATGATAAAGATCAGTAAAGTGCAGGGGTAGGCAGCTGGCCCACTTGATTGTCAAAACGAACCAGTTTGCTCCCAGCTGATCTTTGGAGCTAGGTGTTCTCCTGAACCGGTACAAACTAGCAGAATCCCATCCCTGGATCCCTCTCTTATTTATTTTCTTGCTAAATTTATTTGTTAAATCTATTTGCTGCCTATCTCATTGTGGGCCTACTCTTAGATGATAATGTCCTGATTTCTATTGAATCAGTAATCCTCTCAAGAAGGAACATTTATTGTATAACATATAATTCAATGCATTCTGCAGTAGTCTTTCTTAATATTACACTTCATTTTGGATGAAAAAGTCAAACAAGTTTATGCTTGTAATATTGATATCCCAAATTATAAGTAATATTGATAGCACTTTTATTTTTATTTCCAATATCCTAAGTTATTCAAACAAGGGGTCAAGTTATTTTCCAAGGCACCTGAAGGCCAGACCAGGAATAATGGACGGAAACTGAACAAGGAGAGCTTTAACCTGGAAATAAGAAGAAACTTTCTAACAGTGAGAAGCAGCAACCAATGGAACAGTTTGCCCTTGGAAGTTGTGGGAGCGCCATCACTTGAGACTTTCAAGAAGAAATTGGACTGCCATTTGTCAGAAATGGTGTAGGGTCTCCCACTTGGGCGGGGGGTTGGACTAGATGACCTATAAGGTCCCTTCCAACTTCAATTATCTGTTATCTGTTATCCAATAAAATGTCAATATTTTTAATTAATATTGTATAAATATCATTGTATCAAAATATATTAAATATATTAAATCTCACAACAATATAACACAAAGAAAAAAAGATTATATGTACTATTTAATAAATTTGCTTTCTCAGCATTTCTTGAAGGAAGTGAGAAGAAGATGCCTCAAAATGAAAGGATTAACATTTACAATAGTCTTGCAGGATCCAATTTGGGTTATTTCACCAGGAATAAAGGTTCTGTCTTTTCTCAGATGTCAAGAATCTTGCTGAAGCTAGAAAGAAGTTCCCTGAAGATAGGCTCCAGTATGAGTATAAAAACTCGAAAGACAAAACCTCTGGTCCCATAAACAGAGCCAGATTGTATCCTGCAACATTATCCTGGGGCATGTATATTTGCCTTCATTCCTAACAATAGTCTTGCATGACCTGTTGCCTTAGCATCTTGGACCACAAGTCCTACAATCCTAATGTAATATGGCCATGGTAATATGGAACATCAGAGGCTATCAGGTGGAGAAAACTAATAATTCTCTTTAGAACATTTCCCATACGTTGGACTCCCCCCCCCCCCCGCCCTTTCCTTAGAAGTATTTTCTTTGTTCTTTCTTTTCATTTATTGTGCTTCTGTAAACTGCTAGGAATAAAATATTTGATTACCTGTGCTCAAAGTTCAGTAATTGTGTGTGTGTGTGTGTGTGTGTGTGTGTGTGTGTGCGTGTGTGTGTATCTGAATTCATATTCTTTGTAGAAAATATTAGTTCCGCTTCTTGCTGGTGTTATCACAGAAATCTTGATTTTAACTTCTCCCATGGGAGTAGAATCCTAACGCTTTTAAATTAAATAATCTGAAAATGTCTCTTACACATCTTAATATATTATTCCTTCTGGCTCTAAAAGTAAATACTTTTTTAGTATTGCTGGAATTAAAAGTAAAGGGATTCCTTTGTGACATTTATGGAGCAATATTCTTCGAATAGCACACCTGGCTAAATGTTTTAGTGATCGTGGTGTATTTGCGCATGCTTCAAAAAGAGATTCGTAGAAACTTCTATATGTCTGCAAAGACAAAACAAAATATGTTTGAAGTTAATATCTTCCTTCTTCCACGTACGAAAGCATTGAAAAAAAAGTGCCAGGCTTTGCCATTATCTATTGCAGCTAGATTTCAGTAACTGTAAGCAATATTGCTGGAGGCAAATATTTTTACTTTCCAAATCTCTATCTACTTAACTATACCCACTTCTTCTCATTGAATATGATCCTCCCAATTCAGCAAAATAGAATCTGCCCAAGAACAAATATAGCTTTAGATACATCTGAACACACCTGTGAATTTAATACTGATAACACCACTACCCCCTCTCCCCCATTCTTTTGGCTAAACTCTTGATTTTAATATATATTTTATTTTTTCAAGTGGCTGGCAGTTTTCATTAAACTTTTTTTTGTCCCCTTTATTTTTTAATATTTACTGGATGGGAGGAGGAAGAATTTTCAAAATGGCTACTCACATAGGGAGACAAGAATGGTGGAAGAAGATGGGCTGAAGAAGTTTGCTTTCACATTTTTAAATTCTCTGGACCCTAGAAAATCAACTGGGTGGTTTTAAATCAACAATATTTCATCTGCCTGTCTAGTTGACAGGTTAATTTGGCCAGGATCAAATTATAGGAGAGAATACTATGTATATTGCTTTGAGTTCCTAGAGCAGGGTTGTCAAACTCACATGGTCACGGTGGCATCATGTGACATATTGGGACTTCCCCCCCCCCTTCGCTAAACCAGGCATGGGTGTGGTCAGCACATGATGCATCTTGCCCATGGGCCAGGAGTTTGACAGCCTTGTCTTAGAGGAAAGCTAGAGTTTTAAAAAATATAAACAAATAAAATAAAGTTAATATAGTTGTGTATAGAACCCTACTTTTATTTTAGGTTGCCAATATTTGTCTCCTGCTAAATATTCCTTTTAACAAAGACACTAACAATTGTATTTTCTTTAATGATCAGATTTACTTATGTCAGGTCCAAAGGTAAAAAGTGTGAATTCTGAACCACTCTGGCTAGGTTTACACATCATGCTAAGGTTAAAAAAAACATTATGGCCTAATGCAATGAATGACTTCCCTGTCCTTAATATAGTTATGTATTTTTAAACTACTTACCTCAAAGAGATCATCAGGTATAGCTGTTCTCCATTTTGTTGTGCACCTGATATGTTCATATGTATTCACAATAACCTCAACTGCTCTGGGATAGGAACAACAAGCTTGCAATACCTATAAGCAGAAACATATCACTACCCAATAGATGTCACTGTTCTCCCCCAAGCCATTTCACAGTCTATCGGAGCATCTGTAAATATGACGTCAAAAACCCCGAGATGTCACCGTGATCTTGTAACTGAAGCTTTCAATCTGCCTGGATAAGTAGTGAGCCTTGGTTACATGGTCCTGGCCGTCATCACAGACTTTTTTCCACCATCCTGCTGCAAATCTAATCTTTTTAAAATGGTAGGATTATCCCAGCCTTAAATAATAGCTATATTCATTTTAGCTCATTTACTGAGGAAAATTAAATGTTTTCCGGTTCCTGTATAGCAAACTAGCCTAATGCCTTCTCTAGTAAGCCTGTTATTGATATTATATCTCTGTGTATAGGGAGTCCTCGAATTATAACCACAATTGAGCCTAAAAATTTCTGTTTCTAAGCAAAACGTTTGTTAAGTAAATTTTGCCCCATTTTACGACCTTTCTTGCCACAGTTGTTAAGTGAACCACTGCAGTTGTTAAGTTAGTAACATGGTTGTTAAATGAAACTGGCTTCCCCATTGACTCTGCTTATCAGAAGGTTGCAGAATCTGATCCATGACCCCAAGACACTGCAAATGTCATAAATATGAGTCAGTTGCCAAGCACCTGAATTTTGATCATGTGGTCATGGGGATGCTGCAACAATCATAAGTGTGAAAAATGGTCATAAATCACTTTTTTTTCAGGGCTGTTACAACTTCAAATGGTCACTAAATGATTGGTTGTAAGTCGAGGCCTACCTGAATTCTGTAGAGTCACAGATTCTACACCTGGTGGAAAATTTAGCACAGCAGAAATTTTCCCATGTTCTTTAATTTTATATTGCAGCTTCTATTCCTCTTAAGGAGAAAAAAACTGTTGTGGCAAGTAGTCCCAAAACCAGCCGTGGTATGACTTGGCACCTGAATATCTACACCTTACTTCACATTTCTGTTTGCAAAGTCTAGATTTGGGCACACATATACATAAAGAGTAGCATGAATAATATTCAAAATATGGAAAATTGTCAGAAAAGGGTGGACTCTTTTAATCCTTCCACTGTGTACAATTCTGACTCATACTTCAATTAAGATGTTGAACTGGGTTAGAAAAGATACAAGTTGCTGCTAAACTTCCTTTAATTTCTAGCCCGTTAGACCATTTTTCTTTTATAAGTGCCATGCATTTCTTGCATATATAGAATCCATCTATATATATTCCACATATAAATTCTTTGCAGAAAATTTTAGAAAGATAGCAATGGAATAAGTAATGAAAGATGTGTCCCTGCTATCTTTCTTTGTAAGGTTTTAAATGTAAAAACATTTAAAATAATTTAAATAGTTATGTTACAGAATTCTCATTCTATAATAAAATAAGCAAAAGTTTCTTAAAGTCTCATATTTAGCCCTTGTTTCTCAGGATGCATGTTTAAGAGAGAAAAAAATTCTGACAAAGTTAGCTGTTCTAAGACTTTTTTTTTTCCTGATAAAGTGCCTGGATGGCATTCTGATTTAGAAACAACTATTGACCTCTGATCTGACTTTACAGAATTCACATGATAGACATCTTATGAGAATTTGCAATATCATATTCCAAACTGAGACGACATCTCTAGATTTCTGTTGCTCTGCAATCAGTTATTTAAACTGAATTGGACCATGTTTTAAAAGATAAATCTCCATCCCATCCTATACATATATTTCTCTCCATCAGAAGTGGAGGAATGATGGCCACTTTATGACTTATTGCCTCAGGAATTCTGGGAGTTGAAGTCCACAAGTCATAAAAGGGCCGCTCCCTACCCCTGCTCTACATAATACACTATGCACCATTTACCCCTTTTCACCTTATGGAATTGTGGTGGGTATATCCTGGCAGCTCCGTGATTCAGAAGCAGCTGATAACAGATTTCAGGCTGAGCACTAGGGCGGACATCTGTCACTTTCAGGACATATTGCAGCGGGGCACACCCATTATCATCCATCAGGTTGGCCTCAGCACCTGCCTCAAGCAACATGTTTAGTAGTACATGATCACAATTCCAGGCTGCCTTGTGGAGAGGGGTCCTGAAATCTTCATCGCGTGAATTAACATCAGCCTTATAGTCAAGGAGCATCCGGCAGATGAGGTGGTGATCTGTGCTGTAGATTTGTTCCTTACCATTAAGGGCCCAGTAAACAGCACAGGACAATGGTGTTTCTCGGTGGGCATTTGCATCATCAACTACAGCTCCTTGTTCCACATAGAAGGCAACCATTTCAGGGATACCACAACGAGCAACTGTATGAAGGGGCGTTTCTTCGTCTTGATTGTTTGATCTTATATTTACATCTGCACCTGTTTTAATATAAATCACAAAAGAAAGGGGGTGGGGGGAGGGTTGGTATGGGATAGTGCAGTGTTGATATGCTACAGCAACAAAAATAAATCATCCTGAATATAAAAACATCAGGAGATTTTGAAAACTTTTTTAAAAAATTTAAACTTTAAAAAAATTCAAATAGTTAAAAGTCACTTCTTTTAATAAGGAGTTTAGGGAAATGCCTCTGAATATGGCATTAAAATCTAATTATATATGGGTTTGGGAAAATGAATTGTCTTAGGGAATATGAACATTCACAACCTTAATTAAAGCTTGGTTTGGATTTAGAAATGGATAGATTGACAATGCAGATGTAAAACCACTGACATAGATTTTTGTCTCCCAGCTATTAGCTAACTGTTCTGTTACAATATTTGAGCCTGGGAACATTTATGAATATTTTTTAAAGTGGCAGGTTTGCTTGTATAGCAAACAAACAAGTAAACTGAAAGAAATTGATAATATTAAGCAATGCCCTGACCTCCCTCTCACAGTGATTGGAGGCTAGTAAGGGCTGGATCAGGAACAACAGATTGAAACTGGAAAGACAGAATGTCTCTGGATTTGGGGTTCTTCGGTCCATGGAGAACTGCCATCTCTAGTCTTGGCTGGGTGGCACTGCCCCAGACAGACCCAGATCTGGGGATTCCAATAAAAAAAATACTTGTGGCTAAGGGTTGAATTGAGGGATCTTTGGTGCTCTCTGAGCTTGGTTCTTTTCTCACAGATGTTTCATTGCCCAAACTAGGTAAGTGCTCTGATGATGTTATCTAGCTTGGATAATAAAATATATGTGAAAAAACAACCTAGCTCAGAGAGCACCAAGGACCCCTTAATTTGTGGGTTCTCCTGGACTTACAACAACAGCTCCAAATGATCTCCGTAGCTGGTTTGGTAATAATGGTAAAAATAGGGAGGCCATGATCTGTAGTTCTGACATAGATACAAAGTCAGCTGGGTGACCTTGAGTGAAACCAGTTACTCTTTGTTAGTCTTAGGAAGAAAACAATGACAAACCATTTCTAAAAAACCCCGCCAGGAAAAGTTGCCAGGAGTGAATACTGATATGAAGGCACATAAAAGAAAACAAAAACAATAGATACAGAAAATCCAAACTTTTTTCTGCTTTCCAGTATTTTGCAGCTTTAAGTTGATATGCTGGTTGTCTAAAAACATGACAAAATTAAAATGGGTTTGGGGTAGTTGTCTGTAATGAAAGAAAGAAAAAAGGATTGAAAGATTCCTATGAATTCATCCCTTTCTAAAAAATGGGAAAATGGCATATGTTGTTAACTTTCTAATTTTCTGTTATTTCTTAACTTAATGCCTGGGAAACAGCACCTATGGTGGTGCAAACCTGACATTAGAACTCGTTATACTGCTTTAATTCTTTTCTAAGCCAACCTAGAACATGATCCAGGGCAGCCTCAAGCTTTAAAGACCTGAAACTATAGGAAATAAACTGTAGTTCATTTTACCAACACATGCCCATAAACAAAGCAAGTTGCATGACTGTGCAATTAATTCCACAGAGGGAAAAAATAATCCTCTCCCACATTCAAAATACCCACTCAAAATCCAGGTTCCAAATCTAGTTTCTTTACTGAGCAGAACAACTTAGAATGAAGGAGAAAGCAGTTGGGCTGCTAAACAAAATGAAAGATCCTACAGTAAGGTGATTCCAACATTGTGTGCTAAACTTATATGTGCTAAACTGCGCATATAAATCGATAAATCAATCCAACTAATATGTTGGGATTGACCAGCTGAGATTTCTTTTATTTGATCAGATAACCTAACTAAAAGGTTGCCTACATTCCATATTTTCAGGATACTTCACAGATTCAGTCTATCCTAATAATAATATAAATACATTTGGCCGACAAAGTATTCATCATATAGAAAACAGATTGCTTGGATTTTTTCCCTGATTGATAATAACAGGACAAGGGGAAACTTCATGGAAAGTAAAAATAACACCATTAATTTGTCCTCTATCCAACTCAGTAAGCAGTATCTATGAGCAGGAAAATCTGTGTATATATACACACACACACTTTTAATTATATTCCTTTTGATCTAGTAATCCATCCTCTAAGCAAACTTTGATTCAAGATTATACATTCTCACACCATGACAAGTATTTTTTTTTTCTAATCTACTATTTATCAGAGGTTTGGAAAGATATTATATTTTGTATTATATTCTTTTTATCCATTACTATTCTCTGCAATCAGCTTCAATCCATTTTATTCATTTATTTTCACCTTTTCTTTTTTTTAATAATTACTTTGTAGAAGTTTATGCCTGGAAACTGATCAATAATCAACCTTGATGAGAAAATGGAAAAACATTTCAGTCCCCTAAGTGCAAGAAGGGAGCATGATGGCCTAGTGGTTAAGGTGCTGGGTTTAATGGCCAGACCCAAGCACCACATGACTGGGTGAGTTCCATTCCTGTCTCAGCTCCTGCCAACCTAGCAATGCAAAAGCATGCAAATACTAAGTAGAGAAGTAATTCAATTTTGGTGGGAAGGTAACAATGTTTTGTGCAATTTTGGCATAGAGCCATGATCGCCACATGACCACAGAAGCATCTTTGGACCGACTTCCTCAGCTAGGAAACAGAGATGACCTCTGCCCCCTATAGTTGGACATTACAGGACAGGATAAATCCTTATCTTTAAATCTCAAAAAGGCCTCAACGTAACTGAAAATTGACAGTTAATATTAAGTCAGATGATCTGAAGAAGTGAAGATAATTTCTCCACTTTCAGTATCATTCTATTTATTGTGTTTGTTTTCTTAGTTTTATTTTTGCTTTGCATTTCACATATCCACAAAGAATGTGAAAAAATGTAGATTCTTTTTTTGAGCGAACATTTTTGGAGCACTTGATTCATCTCTGGTTACTGCTATCTTCTAAAGTTAAATATTAACATTATCAGAATTCAACACAACAACCTTGCAGACATACAGGCTAGAAATGATGGACTGTAAAATTCAAACAATGTGGAAATCACACTCTGAGAAAGGCTAACAGCATTAAAGTCATCTAAGCTAGCCAATAATATTGAGCTGCTTGTGACAGAGAAAAAAAAATTGGTGCCTTCCTTTCATTAAAAGATATATTAGCAACTGCCTAGCAGTCAAGCTTGTTTGGCAGTAGGCAGTAGGCGACACATTCATCTAAAACTGTGATGGCGAACCTATGGCACACATACACATGCAGAGACATCTTTCCAGGCACACCAGCCATCACACATTCTTCTTCCGGGTTCCAGCGGCACATGCACGCTGGCCGGTTGATTGTCATGTGTGCATGCACACCAGAAACCAGAAGACCAGGTGGCCAGTGTGCATGCGCACGCCGGAACCTGGAAGCTCAACTTCCCAATGTGCGCATGCACAATGGGAAGCTGCTTTTCCAGTACCTGTCACTCTGTGTGCACACGTGCGCTCCCATTTCAGCACTTGGTGCCAAAAAAGTTCACCAACACTGACCTAAATGGTCTGAAGATGAATATATAGCACACTCACAGTTTTATCTACCACAAGAATGAAAGGTGAGTTATTACAGCTGCCCCAATTCCATTTTATATGCCAATTGAGGCATCAACTTCATTTGGCCTTCTAGTAGAGCAAACTCTACTACATTATAGTAATGAACAAAATGTGCAATTTGATCATTGATAAATTAATTTGGAGGGATTGTGTTCTTGAGGAACAGAGGTAAGGAGCATACTATGCTGCATGAAATCCAAATCCACAGTCATGTTTTAAAAAGAAATTTAAGAAGACACCAGAACTTGTTCAATGTTTCTATGAAACATTTGCTTGAGTCTCCCTTAAGATTTGTGCAGTTCTGTCCCAGCAGTTTGATACTATGACTGTTTTTATGCAATTGAACTTACCTTTCCAAATTAACTGTTGTGCACATGGCATGGATAACTTTGTAGTACAATAATGCAGGGGTGCGAGCCCACTCAATGAATAGCAGTTGGTTTTTGCTCCATGGCTACAGAGTATATTGATACAATCCAGATTAGCAACTTCACATGCTATGTGGATTGCTGCTTTCCCATTGGGTCTGCAGTTGATGGTTGCTTTGTGCTTCAGCAGGACTGACAGACTCTCCAGATGTCCATACAGAACAGATAAATGTAGTCCTGTTGCCCAGGAATGCTGCAGTTTATAACTAGGCAGCCAATATCCTGTTACAGTTGGAGAAAACAAACCAAAGCAATTGCATGATAGCTTTTGAAAATCTTCAGATTACTGATTAGTATAAAATTGATTAGCCTCTGTAGCTTGCAATATTGAATATAATTATACTACCCAATGGAATTTATTTTATGTGTTTATACAGGTTTACCCTTAACCAAGTTCCATGTTATTCTGCTGTGCACCCAGGGCTCCTATGTGACTTTCCTGAAACTGAGACATTCATGAAGATGTCTTCATATTCAAGTATTTTTGCCCAGTGACAAGGTTGGTATGCAAGTGAGTCAGCAAGCCAACAGAGAAGGAATAGAAGGGCTCCATAATTCTCTACACCAATCCCAGAGAAACTCAGTGGTATACTGTAAGAGGGGCAATATTTATTCCCCATTCCAGAAAAGACTGTAGAAAAATTATGCAGCCCAGTAGTTCTGTAGAGTTATAGATAAAAGCTGTATAAAGAAACTGATGTATTCTTTCCTCTAAATCTGAAAAAAATATATTTCACATAGGTTAATAGTAGGAATAGGATTTTATTTAACTTATACTGGAATGTGATCATATCTAATTTTGCATTGTTGAACCAATATTAACAACAAAACCTGATTATCTTTCAAATTGTTCATTTTGCCAATAATAGGGCAGCTAATCATAATTTATGGATTCCACTACATCAGAAATTTTTATACTGTACTCATAATTAATATTAAAAAATGAATTATTTGGGGGAAATTGATTGCAAAACCTATGTGAATTAGGGAGTGTTGTAAGCAGAATATTTAATAATCCACAAAGAACATGATTTTTGCAAGTAATTTTGGAGAAAACATATATTAAGTTATGTATACATTTTGGTCCTTTTTTAAAAATAGAAAATATTACAATAGTGAAATTATTCAAATATATGAAAGAAGAACTTCAAGACATTCAAAAGTGATTATTATGCAATGAAGCAGTGGTGTAAGACATAATGTTGCACCTTCATGTTGAAGAGCTAAGCTATATATTTATTACCCTTTGGGGTAATTCTACGCTTTCCATTGCCAATCAATGCAAACAAACTAGACAGACCAGTGTTTGGTTTCTAATTCAGTATCTTAAAGGTTGAATTGTAAGCTACAGGTAGTCCTTGACTTACAACCACAACTGAGCCCAATCTTTTATTGCTGAATGACACCATTTTACTACCTTTCTTACCACAGTTATGTGAATCACTACAGTTGTTAAATTAGTAATGGTTGTTAAGTGAATCTGGCTTCCCCATTGACTTTGTCAGATTGTCCCCATTGTCACAAAAAGACAATCACATGATCCCAGGAAACTGCAACTGTAGTGAATATGAGTCAGTTCCAAACCTGAACCATTAGTGAGTGAAGAATTGGTGATGGGGATGGGAAAAGCAGAGTGCTTCCCTCTGGACTAGTGAAAGAGTATTTCCTCCAAAAATTGGATCACATGACCATGGGGATGCTGCAACAGTCCTCAGTGTGAAAAATGAACATTTGTAACTTCTAATGGTCACTAAATGAACTGTTGTAAATCGAGGATTATCTGTACAGCACAGGCTTAGATAACTGTAAGCAGATTTGTTTCACATAGTTTTCTCTCTCCAACTGAAGCTCTCCAATCCAATTGAAGCAAATAGTATGATAGAAGAACGGTTATGATAAAATAACTTCCCTCAAAGAGGTCAATTCTCTCCAATCCCATAGTATCCCATGGAATACTAAAAAAAAAAAATGTAAGAGGGTCAGAATTCTGATTGACTGTCCATCAGCAAAATGGGCCAGATCCAACTGAATCAGGTCAATGCTTTCAAGAAAAATCTATCTTGAAAAATTTCTTCAGTGCATTGTATGGGAGAGGTAGTTGAGTAGCATCTCAAAAGGTGGGTGATTGCTCATGTCTTCAATTACATCTTTTACTTTTACTTCATTTGCTACAGAGAGTATATGCAGCATGTTAGAGTTCATTGTGTAATCATAGTGAAGTTGCTACCCTCTAATCTTGCCAGATTTTCCTTGTGTACTGTATGTCCGTGTATGTGTGTGTTGTGCATGAGCGTACCTTTGATTCCAGATGATTGCCTGAACAAGTTCTCATGGTTCTTTTTTGGCAAGATTTTGGAAGTGGCTTGCCATTGCTTTCTTCCTAGGGCTGAATGAGAATGACTGGCTCAAGATCATCCATTTGTTTTGTGCCCACAGTGGGACTAGAATCCACAATCTCTCTGTTTCTAGCCTGACGTCTTAACTACTATACCAACTGGTTCTTGCATTTCTTCTTAAGCTATTTTAAATATGACCTGGAACAAAACTATTTGGCCAAACATGGAAGCAGCAGGAAACCAAAGCAAGAAACTTGCATTTGTTGGTGATTGACATACTTTCTAATGTTTACAAATCATACTTTTGATTTTTCTATATATTCTTCAGGAATTACACCAGAAAAAAAAATCCTCGGGGACTAAAAGTCTCTCATGTCTTGATATGAACAGTATTCACTCTTTGCAGGTCTTATTGTATTCAATAACCTTTCAAATCAAATCTGAATAAGCTATATGCTTGAAAATCACTTCTAGGTTTTACATATATATATATACATATATACCCCATCCCTAGAAGTATATGTGTGTGTGTGTATGTATCTATATGTGCATTTGTATGTACACACACACACACCATCCCTAGAAGTGATTTTCAAGCATATAGCTTAATCAGATTTGATTTGAAGGGTTATTGAATACAGTAAGACCCGCAAAGGGCAAATACTCACTACACACAACAGCTAACTTCTTTCAAATAATTCACAAGCTGAAACACTGCCATGGCTTTTTACCTTGTTTGTAAGAGGCCAGGAGCAAATTCTCATCCTCCACTTCAAACACTGTGTCCACATCTATTTGTTTTTGAGCCAAAAGCTCTTCCAGAGTCCTGTAGTCATTTGATTGTAGAGCCTCCAAAAAAGCTTTTTTCATTAGCTTAGCTGTTGTAGTCCGTGTAATGGTTTCTCCCATGCTTTCCTCAGGGGATTCTATCATGCTTGTTTTTAGTGGTCAAGCACTGTGTTTATAAAATGCATGAACGGGTGTTTTAAGTTTCCCAAAGCATGCTAGCCTGCAAGCCCAAAGATAATTTTAACACCAAGCAATGCTGATCTGCCTGTTCTATTTATGTAAAGCAAACATCAGCCACTGTCTAACATGTCAAGTTAAACCAGTGCAGGCCTGTAGTGCCAGTATGAAGAAATACAGTCAAGGGATTAATTAACCACCAAAACTTTGTCATAAACTTATTAAAATTAACTAAGAAAACTCTTAAAGCATATATAATTTCTCAGCAAAAGCAGCAACTTATCATATTCATTTCTAGAAACGTAATTTCCTGGCTTGATTTTGACACGGACAGTTACTATCACTTATCATTTTCTCCATTAAGTAGAGATTTCGTTGGTTATGTATATTATTTTCTCTGTCCACAATCACCTCTCTTCTTCTATCCTCTCTTCTTCTATCTTAGTTCAATCATGGCAGCAAGGTAAATGAGAGAACTGAAAAAAATCTTAATTTAATCCAGAAAGATAATAATGTCTTCCATTGGAGAAGGCCTTCTGGTAAGAAGAACCAGTTAATGAAAAGGGCCTTTTTTCTTCCATCCACTACCCACTTCAATTTTTGGTCCAGCCATCAAGAAAACTTCAAACATGGTTGAAGTGTCCGAAAAATTGAACTTCCTTTCTGAGCATTTCGAGTCATTAATTATGCAGCCATATTTTTAACAAAGTCATATTTGTTTGCAAACTGTTCTTTGATACCTCATCTATGCTTGCTTATAACATATATATCTATTTACTCTGCATTAGAATAAGGCTGTCCCTGAGTATAAAAGTAATTGAGGTAATTTTGTATCCAAGACAAAATTATAAATGTGAAAAAGTTCTATGTCAATTAACATCATTAATGTATGGAAATGTAAACTGATATTTACAATGTAAAATATAGCAGGCATAATATTTCTGTAAGTGGAAACATTTGGCCATAATAAAGGTTCCTCCATATGTCTATTTTTAATTATCAAGAGCAGCTTTGAATGTATTCTGTGGAAGAAAATGGATCTGTAAGTGGAGATCTACTCAATACTAGAGTCCTTCAATAACAGCAAAACATAAAATTATATTTCTGTAAATGCTGATGATGATGACTATGTGTAACAGCTTATATCAAGCAATGATAACTTTACAAAAGAACATTTCTCTATTTCATGCCTTGGTAGGACGTGAAAGGTAGATAAAAAGGCCAAGTCTAGTCTAAACATCTTGTTGGTTGAGACACAAACACCATTACATAACACATCTTTCTGTGACAATTCCTTTAATGCCTTGAAACAACATCTTATCCCACATCCTTGTGAAGGACCCGACAGGTTCACAAAAAACCAAATCCAGCCTAAACATTTGGCTGACTGTGCAACAAACCATAATAATGATAATAGCAACAGTAAAAACACAGAACCAAAGCTATATAGAAATATGTGAAGTCTGCTTTGGTATACAAAATAATAACCAGTTGTTAATTATCCCAAAATGAATTGGGATATTGGGTATGCTATTTACTACAATGCAAGCAATTAAGCAACTTTCTGTGGAATTCTTGTTAGAGTATTACTGTAGGCAGGTGAGATAGAGCCTTTTCAAGCACATGTTATGCAAAAGAAGGATTTTTCTCTCTTGTGGGCAAATATAGAAGATCACAGCAACTGAGTGGTTTTGTTCTATTGCACCTGCTAGTTTATAAATACAATATGTAAATGGGAAATAAAGCATCTGAATTATTTTCCTTCTCTCCAAGTGGCTATGAAATTTTGGAATGTCTCCAGTACTTTCTGTTTTAAAAGTCTGGTTTTGTTCAGAACTACAGATTTGTGAAACTCATCAGATATTCCAAATGAAGTTGTTGCACAATTGAAGATCAAGTTGCAAATGGCATGGATCATATGTTGTTTTTCCCTTCTCACTTCTTTTTTTTTTTAAGTCTGTCACTCAAACTACTCTCTCTAAAGCTTATTTTTCTCTCTGTCCCTTTGAGACTTTCACCATTACTGTAAATAATAAATAGGGGGTAAATAGTACTGTAACACTGCTACAGCTAAAGGCAATTTAAGCATGTCTCACTTCATTTCTCATCCAAGAAGCTTCTTCAGCTTTCAAAGGAAAAAAAAGTTCAATTGCCTTTTGGAAAAATCACCTTTTGGATAATCATGATTTGGATGGTTTGAGAATCTCCATAGACAAAATGAACACAAAACCAGGAAACATGGGTTACTCCCCACCCCCACTTCAGTTATTTTTTGATTCCTAGAAACTGCATGGAATAGCCCCTGCAATTTTCCTGGCAAGTGATTGGCCCAAAGTCACCCATTTAATATCCAGTCCAAGTTTGAAAATCGGTTTAAATCAGAAAACCATTTTTCACAATTATCTTAGTGATTATTGGACTAGAGGGAAAGTATGTGAAGATGGAAGTAGACATAAATCAGAATGAACTTCCACCAAAAAATTGAGATGTAATCTTCAAACTAATAAAGCTAAATTACTTGTTTTCATTTTGGTGCAACTATTGCCTCTCCTTTCTTTTTGGAAGAGATGGGGGGGGGGAGAAGCACACTTCATATGCTCATCACAGGACATGTTCTACATTAGGTTGAATTATTATATTATGGAAAGTGTACTATATTATTATGCAGTGTATCTTCATCCATATAACAGCTGTATTTATGAATATTTAGACACAGAGGTTGAGACAATAACTCATGTCTATTATCACCCATGACATTAGCCTTTACAAATCCGACTGTTAGAAATCTTAGTTTTTCCTGTAAAACCAAATATAGGCAACTGTTAGAATAATTGCTAAGTTCTTAGCAATAGCTATGCTTTCAGAAGTTAATTAATATACTTTTTATTACCAATTAATTTTTTGTATACTTTTAAAATTTGCTATCTGTTATTGGTCCAGGACTTTACATCAACACATACTCTAAAATTAACAAATTGACATTGAATTGAAAGCATGTGTGAATTTATAAAGATTCTCCCCACCCCGGAAGAAGAGGAAATGGAAAAATGTATGATATATTATAACATTTGTATAACATGAATGGTATATGAAGGCTCTTCAGTGCTTTGAAAGCAACTCTGGACCCCTATGAATCTATGAGAGCTGACCTGATTTCTGATTTAGCAATAGAGTAATCTCAATCAAACTTGTATTTTGTTTGAAGTGTTATAATGTGATTTTGTGAATCTTTTGGATAGATTTGAGTCATATTCCCATTTGTGGAATTCTTGCTTTATTCTGAGGATCTTATCCTGCTGCCAACCCAACTTCAGCTATCTAACTCAATATTTCTAAACTTTGGCAACTTTAAGATGTCTGGATTTCAACTTCCAGAATCCTCATCCAGCAGGCTGTTCCCCTTCAAGAGCACTGTTGGGATTTCTATTTCTTGGCTTTTTGGTTTTCATAGAAATGAACATATTGCCATCATCTGAAAAAGAAAAAAAACACTTGGGAATTCAAACAGTTTATTTCCCTTTGATGTGCATAGGGAAGGTTTCTGCGGATCAGTGATTGTTGCTCCTTGTTTTTTGTGCTGCGAAGTCAGCAGCTTTGAAGACAATCATTGATCGGGTCTTCTAATTGCTTTTGGTGGATTTGGAATTTTGAACCATATGGAAGTGGTTGAAGATAGAAGTGTCAAATATAGCCTTATTATTTTAATTTGTTTTGGAGAGAGAAAAAGGTGCACTATCCTTCTTCTTATATAAACAGTCATCAACTTAAAACCATTAATGTTTGAAGTTACAACAGCACTGGTCATGGTCACTTGGTCAAAATTTGGACACTTGGCAACCTGGCATGTACTTATGATGGCTGTTCTATCCCAGAGTCATGTTGTTGTATTCACAGACTGACTGTAGTCCTCAGCGAGATCTGCACTTCTGGCAGGAGCCGCGGACCGCTCCCATTGGTTGATGCCGTTTGACAGCCAGCTATAAAAGGAGCTGTCAAACGGCATCAGCTGTTGCTGCCAGCTGACTGCCTGTTAGCCTTGGCAGACGCAGCAACCCTTTATTCTCTGAATAAAGCCTCTTGTCTGTTAGCTCCGTGTCTGCCTCAGTATTTACCACCGTTCCACAAAACTGGCGATGAGGGTGGGATACAAATAAGAGGCAGCCAGACAAGAACAGCTGAACTCAGTCACTTCAAAAAGAGCCGAAGCCACTACGAGCTGACTGTCACAGCCGCAGACGCTCTCCGCGAGCACGAAGTTTAAACCTCCCCAGCTGAGGAGACAGATGCCACCGGCACAAGATGACTTCATACCCTGTGTTTCTGCCTTTCAGGCTGATGGCTGAGACTTGGGAATCCTATAGAAATCACTTCGACTGTTTCCTGGACGCAATAGACCTCACTGATGCCTCAGATCATAGGAAGAAGTCCTATTTCTAAGTTTTTGCAGAGCTGCGGTTTTTGACACCGCCACAGCACTGGTAGCTCCGCGCTCTGTCAGGGCTGTCCCGTGGGAGGAGTTACAGGAGATCCTTTCCAGTCACTACTCCCCTAAGCCATCCCAAATTGCTAGGAGACACGCTTTCAGGAGGCAAATTCAGGCTGAGGGGGAGTCTATTAGCAAATATATGGCAGCTTTACGGTCAGCTGCCTTACATTGTGGATTCAGGGACTACCTAGAGGATATGCTCCTTGACCAAATAGTCTGTGGAGTCAGGGACCTGAGGCTACAAAGGCGGTAGTTAGCCAAAAGGGACTTAACCCTAGCTGTAGCCATCAAAGAATCACAGGCTGCTGAGCTATCTGCGCTGTCAGCAGCAGAAATCCAGGGGAACCCCATTAGACAAAGCAGTTCAACTATTCATTTTGATGAGGTTTCCCTAGATGAGGTTTCTGAGGAATCAAACGATGTAAACCGCCTCAGACAACAGAAGCCCCTGCAAGAAGAATCAAGACAAAAAACCAACTTAACCCTCAGGCAGCAACCCATTTGCCTGAG